GGTCCCCTGCTTCTTTTGCCCTCCAAGGCCTGTCCGCGGGCCGCCTGGCCCAACGCCGCCGCGCCCCCCCCCCCCCGGCTCGAGGTGGCCTCCAGGATGCCTCCGAGATGCTCAGCCCCAGGGGGCTCCACGGAGTCCTCACTCGGCGGCGAACAAGGGGGGAAGTGAGAAGGACAAGGCCTCCTCAGAACTCTCGAAGCCCCCCGGCCTTGGAGAAGCTTCCTAAGCCTTCCCGAAGACATGGGAAACTTCTCAGGAAAGCCTCTCGGCGGCCCCCGGAGACGCCGCGGCGCGGGAGGCGCCGCCGAGGGGCTCCAGCGCCGATCCGAAAGATCCGCGCGGACCTCCAAAACATTATGTTGATGGCACTCCTCACTCCCCGAAACTAGAAAAGCGCGTTCCACTACTCACAGAACCAAACTACTCGCAAATGGCCTGGATCCGCAGCGGGGGATTTACGATATATTGCATCGAGACAGACGAATGGTTTTCGGACGTTTGCGAGTAGGGATTTTGCGAGTAGTGTTAGGTCGGGCATGTCCCCCTACTGGCGGAATTCGAAGGAATCATGGAAAATAGCTACCCCAAAATTGTCACACACACACACACACACAACAACAACAACAACAACAACAACAACAACAACAACAACAACAATCATTTTACCCGAACGCTCAGTGTTCTCACCAGTGCCAGGGTTTTCATGCGACGCGAGACAATACCCCCACTTCGTGGGGGGGCAGTTCAAGCTCTACCAAATATCCAAACGACTCTTCGCGACCACCCAAACCCAGCTTCCCGCCCTATGACGTTGGGACACTTCACTTCGTGGCGTGCGGACGACCGTGGCTACTACACTGGCGTGGGGTACACACCCACAGAACTTGGTCACTTATTCGGGGCGCGCGTGTGCCCAGCATCCTGCAATTGTGACATACAATACATGACACAGACAGACAGAGAGAGAGACAGAGAGCAGACAGAGAGAGAGACAGAGAGAGCGGAGTTGGTCACATTTTTGGGGCAAGTTCCTGAGATCGTCGTGTTTTTTGTTGGTCTTGCGCGCGCGAATGTCCACTTTACTTTTTTTTGCAAGGGAGTATTGAAATTTGATTATGTTAGAACAAGAAAAAGTAGCTCGCGCGAGCTCATGTAACATAAATGTTGAAAAACCATTGGTTTTGTGGGAGTCGGACAGCGCGCGCGGGATGAAATTTGGACATTTTTTTTTGAAAAACCATTGGGTTTTTGATGTTTTTATGTTGAAATCGTTACGAAACCTAAGGTTCTGGAAGGATTTCGTCTTGCGCGCGCGAATGTCCACTTTACCTTATTTTTTGCAAGGGATTATTGAAATTTGATTATGTTAGAACAAGAAAAAGTAGCTCGCGCGAGCTCATGTAACATAAATGTTGAAAAACCATTGGTTTTGTGGGATTCGGACAGCGCGCGCGGAAGGACATTTTGACAATTTTTTCTTAAAAAACCATTGGGTTTTTGATGTTTTTATGTTAAAATCGTTACGAAACCTAAGGTTTTGGAAGGATTTCGTCTTGCGCGCACGAATGTCCACTTTACCTTATTTTTTGCAAGGGATTCTTGCAATTTGATCAAGTAAGAACAAGAATTTTCATTTTATAGTGTTTTTTGCAAGGGAAAACGGAGTACAACAAAACAACCGGATCCGGTAATAATTCACTTTTCTGAAGCTTTCGCTAAAAAATGATGAAAATGTAGCTGCGGCCTAGGTTTTGGAGGGGGGTCGCGCACCAGGGGTCCCAACAATAATTATTCTTTAGAAGTAATAATGTTCAACAACAACCAACAACAACAACAACAACAACAACAACAACAACAATCATTTTACCCGAACGCTCAGTGTTCTCACCAGTGCCAGGGTTTTCATGCGACGCGAGACAACAACAACAACAACAATTACTAGCACGTGGGGACACTCCGTTCTCACCAGTGCCAGGGTTTTCATAGGAGGCGGGCAATACCCCCACTTTGTGGGGGGGCCGGTTCAAGCTCTACCAAATTTCCAAACGACTCTTCGCCACCACCCACACCCAGCTTCCCGCCCTATGACGTTCGGACACTTCACTTCGTGGCATGCGGACGACCGTGGCTACTATTCAGGGCCCCGCGGCCGACGACGACGGCGTGCGCGCGCGAAGAAAAAACGAATGTGTCCCGCATGGTATTATTTGACAGGGATGATGGCCCTGGCAGGTGCGCAACCGTTGTTGCAGAAGTTCGAAAAAGTTGCTCGCAAAAGCCCGTTTGACAGAAATGTTTAAAAAGTGTTGGGTTTCCTACGAATCCGCAAGAGCGCGCGGGATGAAAGTTTGACATTTTTTTTTGAAAAACCATTGGTTTTTTGATGTTTTTATGTTAAAATCGCTACGAAAACTAAGGTTTTGGAAGGATTTCGTCTTGCGCGCGCGAATGTCCACTTTACCTTATTTTTTGCAAGGGATTCTTGAAGTTTGGTTATGTT